TTTATTGGTGAGTTTTGCTATACCAACACCAATCCTAGTTTGTGGATTAATAATTATTGTGGTTTTCTTGTGAATAATGTTTTGATCTGTAAACTGTTTTAGAACCTTATGGTTGACAGCTGAGATAGAATTTATATATTTCTTGTTCACTTTGACTTCTGTATATACTTAATCTTTCTTCTTGCACTTTGTACACTTCAAGCATTTTGCATGTATTATCTCAGTAATCCTTACAACAATTTTGCAAAACAGATCAGTAAAGGTGGTAGAAAGTGCAGCTGGGGTTCTGTCAGTGATGGCTTTCCTAAAGCCAGGTTCCATAGATCTTGCCTGACTTTGATAGCTAGCCAGCTTTTGCAAGCCCCAGGACTCTGCTTTTATCCCTGACTGGAGGGAGTATCCTATTACAGTGACAATTGTGATACATTTACATAGGAAAACAGAGCATGAAACAGTTTAGGAGGATGACAGGGAATTACGCAGCATGATTGCCTTTTTGGATAATCAGAGAACCTCTAAGTGCACCATGACAAGATGGATACCCCCTGCCCCAACCACAGCCATCCTTTAAATTCTTAGGAGAAGGGTAGAAGGGTGCGGGCATAGCTTCTTGGTCAGAAGTTGCCAGATCCTGTCTATTAAACTTGTGGGCTCTTGCCTAAGACCACCTCATGGGTTAATGTACAGTGGTACTGCAGGTTAAGTGCTTAATTCGTCCCGGAGGTCCGTTCTTAACCTGAAACTGTTCTTAACCTGAAGCACCACTTTAGCTAATGGGGCCTCCGGCTGCTGCCGCGCCGCCAAAGCACAATTTCTGTTCTCATCCTTAAGCAAAGTTCTTAACCTGAAGCACTATTTCTGGGTTAGCGGAGTCTGTAACCTGAAGCGTATGTAACGTGAGGTACCACTGTATGCAGTAAGTTTGGAACAGTGGATTTACAGCTGCTTTATAATAATAATAATTAATAATAATAGCTACAGCTACTGGTGTAGGCATCTCTTTTGTTATTATTAATGTTTATTTCAGTGTACAAATAACTAAAAGTTGATGAACTTTACGTTAACACATCTTTGGGTATTATAACACATCTATTCTTCTCCCAGATATTTGTGTTTTAGCTGAGAGTGATACATTCTTAGTTCTTCTGCAACAGTATGGGTCCAGTGAATATGTTGGTCACCCCTACTGATCATTCCATACTGTTGTTGAATCACTACAATTTCCATCTCAGTCATAAATTATTTAATGGGTTTCGGTAGGTTACCTTAATGTTTCCAACTTCCTGATTCCAATGCTTCCTGCTGTTTGAGGCTAGTGACTAATTTTCTGTCTGCTCCAAGAAAACGAAGCCTTTGAAATTTCAGCAGTCAGGGGAGGTCACTCTTAAGAGAGCTTCAATTATCTAGAATGGGAAGCTGAATGTTGTTCTTGATCTAGATAACACATCTTGTGAAATATATTGTATTTGTCTGTGTAACTCTCTAAAAGGCATGGATTTCCTTTTGGTTGCAGCAGAAAAGGCTTGACATGAGTAAGTGAATAATCTTCTGAAATCTTCATCAGCTATTCATAACAAAGAGTGAGCAACCATTTCACTCCTATAATTATGTCCTATATTATCCCATAGCAGTGTATGCACAGGGGCGTAGGAAGGGGGGTGAGGGGAGTGCAGTCCACCCTGGGTGTCACCATGGGGGGGGGGGGAGTGACAAAATGGCGGCTGGCACTCACCGTGGGGCCTGCAGCGCATCTGAGCCACGTGTGGCTTGAGTGCCCGCAGGCTCTGCGCTGTCCACCAGCTGCCTCCCCCATAGCTGTAGGGCAGCTGAGGCCCCACACCGCACACACTGTCCATATGGGTGCCAGGCTCGCTGTCCATATGGGCACCGTGTGCCCTGCCCCTGTGGATGGTTCGCCCCACCTCTCGGCGCACCGGACCAGGTGCCCTAGAGCCTTCTTCCACCAATGTGTGTGCATTCAATAATTTTGAAGCTCCAAAGTTTGGCATCCAGGGCTGAGTTTTGTGAAGTAGGATAGCATTTACTTCACCTACCTTTATTCTTGTAACTCCCTAAACTATGCACAAACACCGAGACCTTATTTTGAACCATTGCATCTTGCTTTTCCTCCCAAAGCAGATCAGAGCATAGTGTACAATAAGACACTTAAAAATAATAAAACACTAAGCAGTATAAAATAATAACAGCAGAGCAGTCAAACTAGAAGGGCTCAAAAGCCTGATATGTTTTAACTGCCCTTCTAAACATAAGCAGCAAAGGAGCCATATGACATTCCTTAAAACTGCTCTAAGTCACCAATGTTATTGTGTAATACTGATAAGAAATGTTTTTAAATGTTTGAAGCATACCAGTATGCCCAGTAGAAAGGATGGGTACTACTGGATACTAGTGGACTGTTGTGTTTCATTGTCTTGGATGAAACAACTTGTATCCAATTGATTTATATCACCCGCCTGCCTATAACATGACTAGTCCTACCCATTCTGGATTTCAAGGATGTTTGAAATAATTGCTTCCCTGGATCACGTTAACATGCCCTGTGGGCTCTGAGAATTCTTACTGAAGGGAGTTCAGATTCCACTGATGTATCCTATGGCTAACAACCTACCACTTGTAAGCTTATCTTAAGCCACAGAGCTCAATCCTTTGCATGGCTAATGGAAAGTAAAGCCAGCAATTGCTGGAATCGAACTGAAATTGAACTGCCACTGACATAGGTGAGAAAGAACTCCTGAGAAGACTGCAAGTGGCATCAAGTCTGAACTCTTTGACAGGGCAGCCCTGCTCTCCTGGCAGGGACCTTGTCTGATCCATTCCCCAATTTGTTTTTTGGAGGGAGGGGGGAAATGGACGCTTACAAGGAATGTTGGCTCTCCAAGACCACCAGAAACTGCATTGTCAATCACCATAAGATGCTCCTTAGAGCAGGCATCGGCAAACTCGGCTCTCCAGATGTTTTGGGACTCCCAGCTGCAAAAAAAGGAGAGTCATACAAATTTCACACAGAAGCACATTATTGTTTATTTCAACTCGCCTGTGGAAACAACTCAGAGGCCATGAAAGAAAAGGATAACAACAGGAAGATTTAAAGAAGAAACTATTGGAAACTCAAGGCAGTAGAAACATAAGATGATTGGAACCCCACTGAACTTGAAGCATGGGAAGCCCCAACAAAAATTTATAATTTGGCAGAATATTTGGACTATATGATATGTATTTGTATAATTTGGAATACTTAATGTGATTTGATTGGATTGTTAAAATGGAAAATTTAATAAAAATTATTAAAAAAAGAAAAAGAAAATCTACATGGCAGAGGATGATGAACTTGCTCCTCTAACACATGAAGGAGTATCCCAGTAAATTAATGCACCAGTGTTCCGTCTTGCCCAAAATAAAATTACATTATTTTCCCCACTGCCATCATCTCCATGGAGATGTCCAAACTCTGTGTCGCATTTAAAGCTGCACTTTGCTGAAGGAGTTGATACACATCTGTGCTTGTGTCAGCTAGGACTTGGATGGAGATGAACACCTTGTTTGCTTGTCAGACTAATCCATTACATAGCTACTTTGCAGCCACTTTCATTCTTGACTGACCTAATTACACTAAAAGACTCCGTTGCAGAATGGGAAAAAAATAGTACAAGTCATCTTACACCAAAAAAAATTTTTGGTAGAACTTGTCCTCCCATTAACTTAAACCTTTAAGGTAGCTACTGAATATTAAATGGAAATGAATGGAAGTGGCAATAAGCTACTGAGAAATATGATTGTAGAGTACAGTATGAGTCTGTTTCAAGTTAAACTCTGCTGTTCCGACTAATTTCCTATAGTTGCTTTACTCATCAAGTTGGTTGAAAGCAGCGTGATGTTAGAGGAGAATGATAGCATTGATTAAACTACTTCATAGAGATCAAGTGTACTTCTTGCATACCAAGATATTGGCATACATGTAGCAGATGCCTACAGCCCTGAAAACAGTTAAGTCTTTTAGTAAGACAAGACAGTGATCCCATTTATAAGGAGGTGAACTTCATGAATATTGCTGTGATTAAAATACATATTGATTTTACTTTGTGTTTAAATTAGCATTATACTGTGTCTGGAAAGAAAGACTGGCATGGTTTGCACGTTGCATTAAACCACAGTTAAAATAAACCATGGTTTTGTGTGAATGAGCAATATACTGGTGCATGTTGACGAAACAGAGTTCTTTGCTGGTCACCCACTTCTGTGATTGTCATGCCGCCATGAAACAAGCCATGGTCTCTCTTGTTGTGTTTCAGTACTGGCTCATGGTTTGTCTCTCTCCCAAAATGCCCCATAAGTGAAAGCTAAGCTGGGTTATTAAGCCATAGATTGTTTAATGTAATGTGTGAACCAAGCCACTGTCAAAAATTATTTACTTTAGAGGAATGACTATAAAGTTCTCAGAATTGCAGTCCATCTACTATGTGTTTACAGCTTCAGAATAAGCTGAAAACTGTTGCTGTTCAGACACCAGCAAACATTGCCTGCTAGCCACTATGAGGGAAATAATTCTGATTTGTATAACCTGAAAAATCTGAATGCCATCATCAAGTGGGCTGTGATCAGAAGAGGTACTTCAGGGGTGCCAGTGGGGCTGTACATTTATTTTTTCTTTGAACACAAATCTGTGCTACTTCACAAACTACTTTTGAAAGTCCCATCTATTTCATGTTCCATGGGAGTACCTACTGAAGTAGTGCAAGCATAAAGCCTCAGGTACATGGAACTTGTACAGCTAATGGCATTCAGCCCTGGTATTATTGCTACCCATCATTGGCAAGTACAGGTAACTCACAACTTATGAGCATTTAACTTGTCCACGTTGAGCTTTACACATGTGGAATTAAAAATAAATATATAAAAAGGGGGTGGGCATCCAGGGAAAAATGACTTTGGCAATTCCACTTGCTATATCTGATATTGGCTGGGAAGTGCAGTTGGGAGGAGTGCCAGTGGCACAATGGGTCAGTGCATCTGACTGTTAACCCGAAGGTTGATGGTTCAAGCCCATCCAGGGATAGCTGTGGGCAGGATTCTTGCATTGCGAGGAGTTGGACTAGTTGACTCGAGGACCCTTCCAGTTTCCATGATTCTATGACTCTCTGAGTGACTGACATTTTGATGTGACATTCTGTCCTGGTATTTCCTCAGTATATTAGGACACTATAATTAGGCAATTGGGGCTCACCTCCAAATGCAATCTACTTGGCAAGTGTTTTCTGTTGAATCGTATGAAAATAATCACAAGAACTATAGAAAAATAAAAAAAACAGAAACACCAAAAAATCCATTGAGAAATAGTTTTGAAATGGCTTTGCCTTCTAATCCCAATGGTTCCAAACGGTTTATGTGTTTCAAACATAGTAAACTTCTTTAAAAATGAGGAGTTTCATAAGCAGTTTAAATATGTCATGAAAGGTCTGCTGCTAAAAGAAAAATAGTTATATGAAAAATTCGGCTAGACATGCCAAGTCCTACTGTGCGCCTAAAATAGCTCTTTGGATCCTAGTCTATAAAAGATTGATTTAAAAAGTTATGTGAATTTACCTTTTGCATTCAGATTTTAAATCCTATTTAATTCAAATTTTCCACTGCACTGTCAAACTAGCAACTTCTTTTTCTTTTTTCTGTTTCTATTATTTTAATTTTTGCTTGGTTTTGTTTCAGATGTGTATATGTACCTGTTTATGGAAAATTAAAAAGAATTCATTTTTTTATATACTATTTTATCTGCTTGCATTTTGTTCTGTAAAAAGCAACAGAATGATTGGCTTCCTCTTCCTTGGAAATATGAAATGTGCTGTTTTCCCCTGTTGTCAAATTAAGCTTTCCCTTCTAGCAAGAAGAAGCATTACTGTAAGTTCCGAAGGGTGTTTATCCATCTGGAATTCCTTGTACAGTCTCTTTATCAGATAAAGTGGTTCTCAGGGTTATACTGACAATCATTTCCCTCAAACGTCCCCGCCGTATCATATAATACAATCTGTGGATTCTCTGCCTTTTACCTTCCAGGAAACCTGTTGCACATTTTGAATGGATTAGAAAATGAAAATATTGCCATGAAATATCCTAAGTGGGGGTTGGGGGGAGGATGTGTGATGTGGCAGATGGTACACCACACTTCTGAAGCTCTGCTGGCTTGCCCAAGGCGTGGTGCAAAGTGTAAGGGGTTGGACTTACCCTGTGTGTATCTTCATTTTTCAATCTGGTTCCTGTTTCACAGATGCACGGCCCTCTCCAAAGAATGAAGGGAGCTTAGATTTAGCAGATCTGAAGCTGCCTCTGCTCCACCCCTAAAATGCCCATTTGGGGACCTAGCACTGGTTGCGTGCAAAAGCGTCATTGTCAATGTGGATTAGACTACTGGGCTGGCTGCAAGTGTAGTAAGGCATATGCAGTGGATGTGCTCCTCTGCCAGCAGAGCTCTCCTCTACAAAGAGAGAGGTGACACTGTTCCTTTTTAATCCCTTCTAGCTAGTTGATCTGAGAGTTAGGACACTCTAGAGTTGCAAGCTTCTGCACAGACCCTTCATGCTACCTCATGCTGCCTTGCTCCTTCCCCTCTTAGTATCTGGCAGTGTTGGGAAGCCAAGTGAGCAAGGCTGCCCTGCTTGCGTGCCACTTCTGAATTAACATCAATAAATATATATAATAACCCCATTTTTAACAATGTAGCTCAGGGCTAGAGCATCTACTTTGCATGTAGAAGGTCCCATATTCAACCCCCTATGTCTCCAGGTGCTATTGGAAGAGACTCTAATCTGAAATCCTGAGAGTTGCTTATGTACGGTGTAGACAGTACAGTACTGAGCTAGATGGACCATTGGCCTGATTCGGTATATAGGGCAGCTTTCTGTGTTTCCATGTCCCTGGACTCTTAAAGGTTCCATACCCCTGACTTAAGTTACAGTAATTCTAGATCATGTCTAAGTCGGATATGGCCTTTATTTTTGCCCCAGCCCTCATCCTGTCTTCTTTCCTGACAGTCAAAGTGTGTGTTGCTTGACCTTTGTGTCACCCCTGGCTAATATCCTGAAGGTCATGCCAAACTGTCTGTTTTGCATACAAAACCTATAAATATGAAACCTAGCCTACCTTGGATAAATTGCCTTCAGCTGGAATCAGTATTATATGCTTCTTTATTTCCAAGGAGGATATTGATTTCTGTTTCCATAATTGTTTCTTCCACAGCCCATAAGAGATTAACTACATGCCTATTATACCAGCTCTGGCAAGACTTGGCAGTTACATAAGAGATTTTCTTTATTTAATTGTCTGCCATATTTATGTGTTCTGAGTGATAAACCTATTTTTTATATACTGTATATAGTTTAAGTGATATACAGTATTGTATTCTGATCTGGACATACATTTTGAAACACTGTATATCATTTTGTTTTTCTTCTGATCCAAACTACTGTCCGGGCATATGTTACCCTTCTAGGGAGTTGGGTGGACAGAAATTGAGAGCTGGCAGAGTGGTGTGTCACAGTACCCTAGTCAGATTCCTCTACTTTCTACACTTAGTATCTCACTGCAGGTTTAACTATCTGTGTTGGCAGCTAGTGATTCACCTGGCTGTCTTAGTGTTCATTTAGTCCCAGTAGTAAAGTTGGGAGAATTAAACATCCATTTGACCCTGCATACTTCATGATCTTGTGGGGCACAAGGTTAAAGGCTCTCTTAGAAAGACACCAGGGATGCTAGAGTGCCAGTGCCTGGCTGTATACGCAACACTGCCACTTCCCACACTTGAAAGCACTTGAAAGCATTTTCATTCTTTTTCTGTGTGGAGGAGGCAATATAGAGCTAAATATATCACTTGCCAATTTTATTCCTCCTTAAGGTGTTATATTAGTCAGTCTGGCTCCTAAATTTCATTTCATTTTATTTAGTTTGGGTATTTATATCCTGCCGTTAAACAAATTCTCATGACAGCTATATAAATATTGTCAGGATTAGATTGTAACAGCCCCCTGAAATACAAGCAATACAGTAATCGTACTTATCTGGAAAAGATTTGGGAAAAGGTGGTGTAGGAAAGACGAAATGAAGATAGCTAATTAATACACTTTTTTTCTTTTCTTTTTTGGCTTTGTGCACTGAATTTTAAAATGAGAAGGAAAGGTTTTGATAAACTATTCAGGAGGGAAGCTCCACTCATTTGATTTAGACCACCTTTTTCAGAGGCGTTTTTGGATAAAAATTATCTAAAAGTGCCACTAAAGTCTCTGAGTGCTATTCTAACATTGTAGTTTGAAAATATCAAGTGTGTCTACCTTTTGTGAATGGTGTAAAAAAGGACTGATTTTATTTATTATTATTATTATTTTTGCTTAGCTCCAGCATGTTTTCTGGTGATATATATTGAACTGATAATTCATCTTTGGAGATTTGTGCAGCTGGGGTGGGACAGAGAGGGTAAACTTGTGGTTTATTAATCTGTACTGGGGAAAGAAAAAAACCCAAAGGTTCCTTACACAACCCCACCCCCCTTTATTCCTCTCTGCCTCTCTGAAGAAATTCATTAATAGTCTACCTGGTCTCTCTTACATTATTTATTGTTGGTTACAATTATTTTTCAGTGGTGCAACTTGCAATAGCTGCAGTATGGAGTTTGTTCAGGATTTCAGCTAGCCAGCAACACATTCTAGTATATTTTATTTCATTCCTCTCCCCTTAATAGTCAATCAGGTTTTCATGTGTATTGATCATGCTTAATCTTTTGGATGGGAGAAAAGCAATGACAAACTTAGACAGCATCTTAAAAAGCAGAGACATCACCTTGCCAACAAAGGTCCGTATAGTTAAAGCTATGGTTTTCCCAGTAGTGATGTATGGAAGTGAGAGCTGGACCATAAAGAAGGCTGATCGCCGAAGAATTGATGCTTTTGAATTATGGTGCTGGAGGAGACTCTTAAGAGTCCCATGGACTGCAAGAAGATCAAACCTATCCATTCTGAAGGAAATCAGCCCTGAGTGCTCACTGGAAGGACAGATCAGGAAGCTGAGGCTCCAATACTTTGGCCACCTCATGAGAAGAGAAGACTCCCTGGAACAGACCCTGATGTTGGGAAAGATGGAGGGCACAAGGAGAAGGGGACAACAGAGGACGAGATGGCTGGACAGTGTTCTCGAAGCTACCAGCATGAGTTTGACCAAACTGCAGGAGGCAGTGGAGGACAGGAGTGCCTGGCGTGCTCTGGTCCATGGGGTCACGAAGAGTCGGACACGACTAAACAACAACAACAACAATCTTTTGGAGCCCTCCACCTTTAGGTATTATTAGCATTGGTATTATAATAATCAGCATTATTGCTATGGTTATCATCATTATACATTTCTGCAACAAGCCTTAGGGTTATACTGATGCTACTGATACCCACATCTTTGTTGGTGCTATTTTGTCTATATAAAGAGAAGGTAGTAAATAAGATAACAGATAACATCTAATAAATACCTCTTTAACTGCAACACACACAAACCATGCACACAAACACACACTCACCAGTTTTTTATGATCATCCTCATCAGTTCAGTTGGTGTCAAAATTAGGAAATGGCTGCGTGACTTTTACTAGTTCCAACAAGTAGAAATCCATTTACAGGAACTTTTGCTATTTTAAATGCTTTCCTAGATTTTTTAAAATCAGTTTATCTAATGTTAAAGAACACGCCCCTCCCCCTACAGTCTCTTTAAATTGTAAAACCATTAATTCAGGAGCATTCCAGTCTATCTCCATTAGTGATCATGTACCAAACCTGTTCCACAGAGAGATACAGAATGATTGGTTCAGCAAATTTTAGTTGCAGACATAGTTTCCTCCAATTCTCTGATGTGCTATTCTGTAGATGCTAATATTCAAGTTCATTGGGGCTTAGTTGTTTATCAGAGCTTCTCTGAAGTGCAACATTGCTGATTCCTAAGGGACAAGTGTTAAATAGTGACTTGCCTCCTTGGTCATCGTAAGTAAGAATTGCCTCTAGCTGAGCGGCTGAGAAGGTTTTTGTAAATGAGAGG